TCTCCTCTTGTCACGTCCTCCTCCTGCTTATAATTAGCCTCCTCCATCCTCCATCATCCTCATCCTGAGCTTCATTGAAATCCTCATCATCCTCCCTGTCCTGCTCCTCCTCCTCCTCCTCCTCCTCCTCCTCCTCCTCCTCCTCCTCCTCCTCCTGCTCCTGCTCCTCCTCCTCCTCCTGCTCCTCCTGCTCCTCCTCGTCCCCGTCCTCCCCCCCCCTCTCGCAACACATGAATCTGCAAACGATGCGGTTCATTCCTCCCTCAGACCTGATCGTCCCCCTTCCTCGAGACGAGAAGTCTCCGAGCGTGCTGCGGGGCTCTGACGCCAGGGAGGCAAAGGAGGAGGAGGAGGAGGAGGAACGAGTAACGAACAGGAACGAGGAGAAACGGGGAGGCGAAGGAGAATCCCAAGACGCCCTCCCCAAGAGGCACCCTAGAGGGCCTCAGGAAGCCATCCAAAACAATGCCGTGCCTGACAAGGGCACGCGAAGCGCAAAGCATGCCGTGGTAGATACTTCTCCAGCAGACGCGAGCTCGCACACACGATACCCCAAGCGCCACATCGTGGGCCACCAAAATTCGGCGGCGAGCGAGGGGAAGAAAAGAGAAAGAGAATGCCGTCTCAGAAGGCTTGGAAGTCTCGCGGTCTTCTGAGAAGTTTCCTAAGCCTTCCCCGAAGACAGAAAAATTTCTCAGAAGGCGCGAGGGCTTCTGAGAAGCCCCGCCGTCTTCTGAGAAGGCCATCTCCTTCTCATTTCCCCCCCTCGCTCGCCGCCGAGTTTGGGGGGCTGGGCTCAGGGAGGGGGGGGGGGCATCGACCTGGAATCGGCGACACATCGCCGATGGAACGGCGATACGGCCCCGATGGCGAGACCGCATGGTCATGGGCGGGGTGGGCCATCGAGCCTCAGTCGGCGATCCATTGGCGATTGGAGGTCGATGCATCCCCTCCTGGGCCTATCCCCCCCCAACGTGGCCCCTGATGCTGGGGCCCCTCAATGACCTTGTTATCGGCAGCATCCTCGGATTGACCCGTGAATGCTGGCGGGTGTCGTCCGAGGGTGCAACGCCACCCTGCGAATCAGTCGGTGGAAGGGTGGCAACGGCCAGCCTCACCTGGCATCTGGCTCTGACGGCGCACGATAGACAAGGTCGATTCAAAGAAGGGGCCCTGAGGACGAGAGGCCTCAAACAGTACAAGCTCAACTTGGACTCCCTTCCTACCCCTCAGGGCCCCATCCCTCAAGGGCATCGTCTTTGAACCGCCGACGGAGGGTAGTGGCCGTGCCCCGAGCCGCGCTGGCCTGCGCGAGGGAGAAAAAGAGAGAGAGAGAGAGAGCATAAGTGCGAGGCGGCCATTTATCCATATCCAGCGCCTGGGAACCGACGTCCTGGTGCCCCAGCGGGCGGTGGATATGGATGTACTTCGGCCCCCGGGGGCCCGAATGTGTCCATATCCACCGCCTGCCGAGGCCCCGAAAACTGACCCGCCTCGGAACAAGAGGGGCAATCAGGCGACGACGACCGCACAGGCAGGAGGCCAAGGCCGGCGAGCGAGGCAGGCGGGCGGGCAGGCGGGAGGGGGACAGAGGGAAGACAGCAGGCGGGAAGCAGAGAGCCCCGTCTTCCCAGTGCGCTCCGCCACCCCGATGAGGTCATGGCTGCTCTGCTATGGCACATGCTCGAGCCCACGACTCCTGTCTGTCTGCTCCGCCGACGGATGGGCAGCAGCAGCCCCAGCGCTCGCAGCCTGAAGCATGGGCGTACATACCGTGCAGCCTGGGCCGAGCCCGCTGTGTACGTCGCTCGGGCGGGCGATGCGAAAAAAATCTCAACGAGGCGGTAGTAGCCACGCACATTGCATCGCGAGGCCGTGCGCAGTGTCGGACGCGGCTCCCAGGCGCACGCTGCGAAGGCGCAGCAGATGGGATGGGAGACAAGGAGACGACGGAGCGAGAAGGGAGGAAACGCCGTATTTGGTCGGGCATGTCCTCCTACAGGCGGATTGTGGAAGAAAATAACACATAGTCAAAGCATCATCAAAATTAAGCAAAGCAGCACGGAAATCGTCGCCTGACTATCTCTCAACTGTTCTTGAAGACTCCCCCTGGAGAAGGCCATGCCCGACTCGACGCTGAAAGGGCGAACCACTCAGGCAGCCAGCAGCGCAGCTCCCGAGGAGGACCCAGAACGGGCGCACGGGCGCACGTGCTGACCCTTCGCGTGGGCTCGACAGTCAAGCGAGGCCCGCTGCCACATCCGCCCTGCTGGCCCTCGGGGCTCCGGCGAACCACAGGGCGGATCGGCGGAGCAGATCACGAGCAGGAGGCTGGCATGCGACGGCAGCAATCGGGAGAGAGCAGGGGAGAGAGGCAGAAAAGCAGAAGCGCGATGGAAGCTGTCCGTCCCGCACTCGACGCTCTAAGCCTGGGGCGCGCGTGCGGCACCACGTTCGTGAAGAATATGTGGTACTCGTGATACTTTGGCTCCCTGAGCTC